GGTGGGAGGGGGGGGGGGGGGGGGGGGGGTGGTGATGGCGCAATGGTGGTGGTGGTGGCGGCGGCGGCGACGACACAACGGTGGTGGCGATGGTGATAGTGGCAGTGGCATAATAATAGTGATGGTGGCGGCGACACAATAGTGATGGCGGTGGTGGTGATGATGGTGGTACAATATTAGCGGTGGTGGTGCTGAGGGGAGTGAATGGTGGATAATGAAAAGTTAAGAATGTCAAATACTTTGAGTTTTAAACGTTAAGTTGTATTATCAAATCAAACAGCCCCTTACTATTATTCTAAATCTGAAAGAAGACCTCCAGAGGGGAACCCATAAATGGCTACTAGGTCAAGCCTAAGTAGCACTTTATTACAATGCTACGGACATGGAAATCTAGTACTCAGCTTGAATTCATTTATTTCTGGACCAACCAGAAAAGCTTCATGTTGTCACAAAAACTCATTTTGCATGGCATGTGCATGCTCTTTTATCTCCTTCCAAGCCTTGTTCACATGGCAATAGTCTGTAAGTGTTGCTCCAACAGCAAGCCTTATCACGTACACTCCCCCAACCACAGCATGTGTCATGTACACTCTCCCTGTTGCATTAATGGATTCCAAAAGCTTTTTGTTGAATTCATTTGCATCTCCTTCACCTAAAAGCTTCTGAGTAGCATTTCCCACCATTAATGGCGAAACCCGAAAACAAACCATTGCAAAATTTCTCCGAACCACAACCTCGAACCTCTTGTCCATGGCTATGAGCCCTTCAAAATGTTTAGCCATTTTTACATGACCTCTTATGAAGTTTCTGAGGTTTGATACTCCATAGCTTCTGAGCACAAGCCATAGCTTCATTGCTCGGAATCGTCGGCTCAATGCTATTTGCCAGTCTTTGTAGTCCACCACTTGGTTTGAATCGGAAGCCTTGTTCTTCAAATACTCCGGATCAGTTGAGAGAGCTTTGATTAGGGCACTTGGTTCCTTTACCCAGAGACAACAACAATCCAAAGTGGTGAAGAACCATTTATGTGCATTGAGGCTAAATGAGTTAGCACCCTCAATACCATCAAGAAAATGACGAAACTCTGGGCAAATAAATGCACTTCCTGCATATGCAGCATCAATATGAACCCATATATTATAATCTTTTGCTACATCACATAATGGCCCCAATGGATCAACTGCATTGGACGAAGTAGTCCCTATAGTGGCACAGAAAAACAATGGAATTAGCCCAAATTTGATATCTGATTGAATTGCTGATCTCAGTGCATCGGGAGATAACCCAAATCCAGTAGACTTTGTGGTCAATAGAGATCGAAAATTCAAGGGGTTAATGCCTGCAATCTTAGCAGCTTTTTGGAGTGCACAGTGGGTTTGATCAGACCCATAAACAACAAGCTTCCCCATGTTTTCTCTCCCAATTTTGTCCAACATTTGATCCCTCGCCGCGGTTAGTGTGCACAGGATGGCCTCACAAGTAGTCCCTTGTAGAACACCACCACCACCGCCAGAGAAAAGAAATGAAATGGGAAGGTTAAGCATTTTTCCAAACCAGTCCGTCACTATGCTCTCTAGCTCTGTGGCAGCTGGTGATGAAATCCAGTTGAATCCAACAACATTAAAGCCAGAGCTAAGCACTTCACCAATAAATCCTGCTACGCTTCCACTGGAAGGGAAGTAACCAAAGAAGTTTGGACTTTGCCAATGTGTTAAACCAGGTATGATATCCTTTTGCACATCTTTTAGAATTGTTTCTATAGTTTCAGGCTCATCTGGAGCAAGCTCCGGCAGGCGTTTTCGAAGGTAACCCGGTTCAACTTGGCTTCGAACTGGATGTTTCTCAACATTTTTGTAGTAGTCTGCAAGGAAGTCCACAATCATGTGGCCTTGCCTCCTGAATTCCTCAGGGTCTAGAGGATTCATGGTTGTGTTGAGATAGTTATCTAGATCAATGTTCATTTTGATAGTACCCATTGGGATCAACGTTGAGTTAGGTGGTTTTTCTTGCGGAAGTGGCGTGGTTGCTATGTAGCAAAGGGCTGTGAGAAGAAAATGGAGAGGGAATGGTGAAGTTTGCGTAGTACTCGATTGAAAATATAACTGGGACATTTATAAGACTTTTTTGGCTGGGACTATTTAGAGCTTTTAACCAAAACCAACTCCCAACAAACTTTATTTTCAAACTCAATCAATTTTAGACTTATTTTTTAAATTCAATCTCTTTTTAAAAACGTCATTTCAAATAATATTTTTTTGGTTTAAAATATCATTTCAAATGACGTTTTTAACCTTGACAAAACTAAACAAAGTTTGTATTAATAATCAATAAAAATGTCTTTTTAAAAAGTTAGTTTTAATGACCTTATTAATTTAACGGTTTTGATAACGGTGTTAAACTTAAAACATCATAGCTATTTTGGAACCTTTTCACCAAACTATTTTGCTTGATCAACTTAATTCCTAAAATTCAAACTTTTTTTTCATAATCAATTACTATAAAAAAATGTCATTATAAATAACATCTTTGGGGGCGAAAATGTCATTCTGAATAGTACTTAATCTATTCTATATCTATATCTGGATTACTAATAAAAGTATCTTAAGATGAAAAAATTTACAATCTCTATTTTACCCTTATAAAGGATTATAAAAATAAATATATACTTTTATAATTAAATATCTAAATTATCATCATTTTTCTTATGTATATCTATATTTATATTTATATTTATACTACTTATAAAGTATCTTAAGATGAAAATTTTTAAATCTCTATCTTTTTACAATTAAATAAATAAATTATCATTATATTCTTATTTATTTAAATCTTTAAATTATCTATAAAATCTCTTATGAAGTTTCTNAACAAACCATTGCAAAATTTCTCCGAACCACAACCTCGAACCTCTTGTCCATGGCTATGAGCCCTTCAAAATGTTTAGCCATTTTTACATGACCTCTTATGAAGTTTCTGAGTTTTGATACTCCATAGCTTCTGAGCACAAGCCATAGCTTCATTGCTCGGAATCGTCGGCTCAATGCTATTTGCCAGTCTTTGTAGTCCACCAGTTGGTTTGAATCGGAAGCCTAGTTCTTCAAATACTCCGGATCAGTTGAGAGAGCTTTGACTAGGGCACTTGGTTCCTTTACCCAGAGACAACAACAATCTAAAGTGGTGAAGAATCATTTATGTGCATTGAGGCTAAATGAGTTAGCACCCTCAATACCATCAAGAAAATGACGAAACTCTGGGCAAATAAATGCACTTCCTGCATATGCAGCATCAATATGAACCCATATATTATAATCTTTTGTTACATCACATAATGGCCCCAATGGATCAACTGCATTGGACGAAGTAGTCCCTATAGTGGCACAGAAAAACAATGGAATTAGCCCAAATTTGATATCTGATTGAATTGCTGATCTCAGTGCATCGGGAGATAACCCAAATCCAGTAGACTTTGTGGTCAATAGAGATCGAAAATTCAAGGGGTTAATGCCTGCAATCTTAGCAGCTTTTTGGAGTGCACAGTGGGTTTGATCAGACCCATAAACAACAAGCTTCCCCATGTTTTCTCTCCCAATTTTGTCCAACATTTGATCCCTCGCCGCGGTTAGTGTGCACAGGATGGCCTCACAAGTAGTCCCTTGTAGAACACCACCACCACCGCCAGAGAAAAGAAATGAAATGGGAAGGTTAAGCATTTTTCCAAACCAGTCCGTCACTATGCTCTCTAGCTCTGTGGCAGCTGGTGATGAAATCCAGTTGAATCCAACAACATTAAAGCCAGAGCTAAGCACTTCACCAATAAATCCTGCTACGCTTCCACTGGAAGGGAAGTAACCAAAGAAGTTTGGACTTTGCCAATGTGTTAAACCAGGTATGATATCCTTTTGCACATCTTTTAGAATTGTTTCTATAGTTTCAGGCTCATCTGGAGCAAGCTCCGGCAGGCGTTTTCGAAGGTAACCCGGTTCAACTTGGCTTCGAACTGGATGTTTCTCAACATTTTTGTAGTAGTCTGCAAGGAAGTCCACAATCATGTGGCCTTGCCTCCTGAATTCCTCAGGGTCTAGAGGATTCATGGTTGTGTTGAGATAGTTATCTAGATCAATGTTCATTTTGATAGTACCCATTGGGATCAACGTTGAGTTAGGTGGTTTTTCTTGCGGAAGTGGCGTGGTTGCTATGTAGCAAAGGGCTGTGAGAAGAAAATGGAGAGGGAATGGTGAAGTTTGCGTAGTACTCGATTGAAAATATAACTGGGACATTTATAAGACTTTTTTGGCTGGGACTATTTAGAGCTTTTAACCAAAACCAACTCCCAACAAACTTTATTTTCAAACTCAATCAATTTTAGACTTATTTTTTAAATTCAATCTCTTTTTAAAAACGTCATTTCAAATAATATTTTTTTGGTTTAAAATATCATTTCAAATGACGTTTTTAACCTTGACAAAACTAAACAAAGTTTGTATTAATAATCAATAAAAATGTCTTTTTAAAAAGTTAGTTTTAATGACCTTATTAATTTAACGGTTTTGATAACGGTGTTAAACTTAAAACATCATAGCTATTTTGGAACCTTTTCACCAAACTATTTTGCTTGATCAACTTAATTCCTAAAATTCAAACTTTTTTTTCATAATCAATTACTATAAAAAAATGTCATTATAAATAACATCTTTGGGGGCGAAAATGTCATTCTGAATAGTACTTAATCTATTCTTTATCTATATCTGGATTACTAATAAAAGTATCTTAAGATGAAAAAATTTACAATCTCTATTTTA